TCATTGTACTTCGTTCCAGTTACGTATTGCTACTCATTAACTATTGGTGAATCTTCCATAAGGTCGAGATCAACCTTCAGTCTGGAGAGATTTTCGCTCCTCAATCCGTACATTGACCACACTTACGAGGCCTTCTTGACGGGGGTGGAAGAGGGGGTGGAAGGAGTGGAAGTGGAGTGGAAGGGGGAGTGGAAGTGAATGGAAGGAAATTGGAAGTGGGGATGGAAGGGGTGGAAGTGGGGGTGGAAGTAGGTGTGGAAGGAGGAAGGGGTGGAAGGGAGTCAAGTGGGGTGAAGTAGAAATGGAAGGGGGGTGGAAGAGTGGAAGGGGTGGAAAGGGATGAAGTGGAAGGAGCAGAAGTGAGGGGGAAGGGCAGAGAGTGAAGTTGAGAAGGGAGTGGTTGGGGGTGGAAGAGTGGTTGTGGGGTGAAGGGAGTGGTTGTGGGGTGAAGGGACTGGCTGTGGGGTGGAAGGGGGAGTGGTTGTGGGGGGGTGGAAGAATGGTTGTGGGGGGTGGAAGAGAAGGTTGTGGGGTGGAAGGGAGTGGTTGTGGGTAAGAAGTGGTTGTGGGGTGAAGAGTGGTTGGGGGTGGAAGGAGTGGTTGTGGGGGTGGAAGGGAGTGGTTGTGGGGTGGAAGTGGTTGTGGGGGTGGAAGGGGAGTGGTTGTGGGGGTGGAAGGGAGTGGTTGGAGGTGGAAGGAGTGGATTGTGGGGTGGAAGGGGAGGATTGTGGGGTGGAAGGGAGTGGGGTGGGGTGAAGGGGAGGGTTGTGGGGGTGGAAGGGACTGGTTGTGGAGGTGGAAGAGGGACTGGTTGTGGGGGTGGAAGGGGGAGAGGTTGTGGGGGGTGGGAAGGAGAGGTTGTGGGGTGGAAGGGATGAACGATGGGCTGTAAGATAGTTTTGTGTGTGTGTGTGTGTGTGTGAACAGTAAACTTCTCAAAGATCAGATCACACACACACACACACCACACACACACACCTTAAAAGATCCCTAGATACAACAGCAAAACACAAGGTGGCGTCCATCCTGTGAAGCGGAGTTCATCCTGTAATCCATCTTTTCGACACACGGGCTGGTTACAAGATAGAGGCAACAGCCATTATCCTACACACGTCTCGACCTGTTTTATTATAGTCTAGTCTTAACCCTCAGACTATAGTGGACGTATACGAGTTTGTAATTGTAGAAACTATAACATCTATCTAAAGGTGATATAGGAGAGTTTATATTATGGGTATACAAGTCTTTACATCCTAAGTTGGGTAATATCTAAGTTGGGAATATACTGTAGTTTATTCCATACCAGAGTCATCTGATGCTTACACCCAGAACATATTTTTATGGAGGATATTTTGACCACCTAAACGCCTGTAAGAAAGTTCATAAACAACAACACTATGTAAATAAACTCTGTAATGCTAAAACGTTTACAGGGATAAAAGCCATAGGGTTAAGATAAGGTCAATGTCTCTTAAACTACTACCGTAAGTGTTGTCAGAAATATTTACCTAACAAAGGACTTACGATACGTGGGGTCAATGTAGCTTTTTTTAATCAAGTACCTCCACATACACCTAACACTTACACCCACATACCCCCACACCCATACACTTACACACATACACCCCCCACACACATACATACACCCCACACATACATACCCCACACACATACACACACACATATACATACACCCACACACATACACCCCACCCACATACACACACACACACATACACCCCACCCCACACACCCACCCACACATACACCCATACACCCACCCCACACATACACCCCACCCCACACATACACCCCACACACATACACACACACATACACCCACCCACATACACACCCCACCCCACATACACCCACACACATACACCCCACCCACACATACACCCACACATATACACCCCACCCACATACACCCATATACACCACCCACATACACCCACCCACATACACCCCACACATATACACCCACCCACATACACCCAATGGTAATTTTAGACCAACTAAGAGGGCTGAGCTACATCTTTCACCAATAGTTTACCTCACCTAACCTAACCTAACCTAACTCTAGTCTTGCAGTCAAACCAATCAACAGCCCCGTTTAATGCACATCCTCGTTTAACGTACATAGCTTCGTTTTACGCACATATTCTCGTTTAACGCACATAGCTTCGTTTTACGCACATTCTCGTTTAACGCACATATTCTCGTTTAACGCACATAGCTTCGTTTTACGCACATATTCTCGTTTAACGCACATGGCTTCGTTTTACGCTTTATATTCTCGTTTATCGCTGTTCTCCCTAAGCTTTTCTTCATTGATCAGCAACCGGTATTTTTATGTAAATTAACAAAACTCCGCACATGTCTCTGATAAACTTTCAAAGTTAATTACGAACTATTTAAGGTAAACTTGTAACAATATTTTTCTTTTACTTTTATAATCCAGGTAGTTACTTCTTTATTATCAAACTATTTTTTATATATAGTTTTTCTCATAATTCTGGTGTTTTGAATTTTTTTCTAGTCGATTTCTACTTTTTGGGGGTCAGCTAAAGATTAGCCCTGTCTCACACACACACACACACACACACACACACACACACACACACACAAACAAATAAAGCCTACCCAGGGAGCACACGGTGTACACGTGTTATACGAGACACTGTGTGCCATAGAACTCTGTACTATAGGAACACCGTGTGCTATAGGAGACACCGTGTGCTATAAGAGACACCGTGTGCTATAGAAGACACCGTGCTATAAAACACAGTGTTATAGGAGACACCGTGTGCTATAGGAGACATATGTGCTATAGAGACATGTGCTATAGAGACACCGTGTGCTATAGGAGACACCGTGTGCTATAGGAGACTCCGTGTGTTATAGGAGACATCATGTGCTATAGGAGACAGTAAAGACCCTTCTAAGGAGACACCGTGCTAGGAACCGTGTGTTAGGAGCACCATGTGCTACAGGAGCACCGTGTGCTATAGAGACACGTGTGCTATGAGACACGTGTGCTATAGGAGACACCTGTGCTACAGGAGACACCGTGTGCTATAGGAGACTCCGTGTGTTATAGGAGACTCCGTGTGTTATAGGAGACACCGTGTGCTAGGAGGCACCGTGTGCTACAGAGGCACGTGCCAGGAGCACGTGTTATAGGACACAGTGTGATAGAGGCACGTGCAAGGACACTTGTATAAGCACTGTGTACAGGAGCACCGTGCACAGGAGCACTGTGCTATAGGAGACACTGTGTGCTATAGCACGCACAGGAGGCACCGTGTGCTATAGGAGGCACAGTGTGTATAAGGCACCGTGTGCTACAGACACTGTGCTACAAGGCACCGTGTGCTATAGGAGGCACCGTGTGCTACAGACACCGTGGCACTGTGCGGAGCACGTGTGCTAGAGACACTATAGGCACTGTGCATAGACACTGCTATAGGAGCACGTCACAGAGACACCGTGTGCTAGGAGGCACCGTGTGCTACAGGAGGCACCGTGTGATACAGGAGACACCGTGTGCTACAGGAGGCACCGTGTGCTATAGGAGGCACCGTGTGCTATAGGAGGCACCGTGTTATAAGGAGACACTGTGTGCTATAGGAGACACCGTGTGCTACAGGAGGCACCGTGTGCTATAGGAGGCACAGTGTGCTATAGAGGCACCGTGTGCTATAGGAGCACTGTGCTATAGGAAGTGTGCTATAGGAGCACCGTGTGCTAGAGCACCGTGTGCTACAGGAACACCGTGTGCTACAGGAGACACCGTGTGCTATAGGGAGACACCGTGTGCTATAGGAGACACCGTGTGCTATAGGAGGCACCGTGTGCTATAGGAGCACCTGTGTGCTATAGGAACACCGTGTGCTATAGGAGACACCGTGTGCTATAGGAACACCTGTGCTATAGGAGACACCGTGTGCTACAGGGACACCGTGTGCTATAAGACACCGTGTGCTAGGAAGCACTTGCTATAAAAGCACCTGTGTATAGAGGCACCGTGTGCAGAGACACGTGTGCTACAGGAGACACCGTGTGCAAGGAGACACTGTGTGCTATAGGAGACACCGTGTGCTACAGGAGACACCGTGTGCTATAGGAGACACCGTGTGCTATAGGAACACCGTGTGCTACAGGAGACACTGTATAAGGAACACTGTGTGCTATAGGAGACACTGTGCTACAGGAGGCACCGTGTGCTACAGGAGACACTGTGCACAGGAGACACTGCTAAGGAACACTGCTATAAGGCACCGTGTGCTACAGGAGGCACTGTTACAGGAGGCACTGTGTACAGGAGGCACAAGACACGTGTGCTATAAGACACGTGTGCATAGGACACCTGTCTATAGGAGGCACGTGTGCTACAGGAGCACTGTGCTATAGAACACCGTGTGTATAAGGCACGTGTGCTATAGGAGCACCGTGTGCATAGGAGAGCACCGTGTCTATAGGAGACACCGTGTGCTATAGGAGCACCGTGTGCTATAGGAGACACGTGTGCTATAGGGACACTGTGCTATAGGAGCACCGTGTGCTATAAGACCTGTGCATAGGAGGCACCGTGTGCAGGAGGCACCGTGTGCTACAGGAGGCACCTGTGCTATAGGAGACACCGTGTGCTATAGGAGGCACTGTGTGCTAAGAGCACCATGTGCTAAAACGTGTGCAAGGAAGCACCTGTGCTATAGGAGACACGTGTGCATAGGAGCACTGTGCTAAAACGGACACTCACAGGAGCACCGTGTTACAGGAGCACAGTGTGCTATAGGAGACACCGTGTGTTATAGGAGACACCGTGTGCTATAGGAGACACCGTGTGCTATAGGAGGCACCGTGTGCTACAAGGAGGCACTGTGCTATAGGAACACTGTGTGCTATAGGAGGCACCTGTGCTATAGGAGCACCGTGTGCTATAGGAGCACCGTGTGCTATAGGAGACACCGTGTGCTATAGAGAGACACTGTGTGCATAGAGACACGCTAGGCACTAAGCACTGTGCTATAAACACTGTGTGTAGGACGTGCAGAGCACGTAGGACAGTGCTATAGGAGACTCCGTGTGTTATAGGAGACACCGTGTGCTATAGAAGACACCGTGTGCTATAGGAGACACCGTGTGCTATAGGAGGCACCGTGTGCTATAGGAGGCACCGTGTGCTATAGGAGACACCGTGTGCTATAGGAGGCACCGTGTGCTATTATCACCAGCCACAATCCCTTAATACTGTTGTCGGCCAAAGTGGTAATTATATCACAAACACGACCCGGATTATACCACCAACACGGGTCAAATTATACCACCGACACCCCCATCACCCACCAAGGCCACGCCCCAGAACTGATTAAGGGTGACCTCTGAACTTTGACCTGAGCTTTCACCCAAATAACGGCGGTCAAGGTTACGAGGTTCTTGGCTATTGTGTTTGCCTCGTTATGTCGCTGCTCATTAGCACAGGTGATTAAGGTGCCAATGACCTCTGACCTTCGTTACATTAGCCGAGAGCCAATCGGAGCGGTGACATCTGACCTTATGTTTTGATATAAATGATGGCTTGGGGGGGGTGGGTGGTGGGAGGGTGCGGAGAGGAGGAGAGGAGAAGGGGAGGAGGGAGGTGGGAGAAGAGGGGAGGAGGGGGGAGGAGGAGAGGAGGGGAGGGGGTGAGGAGGGAGAGGAGGGAGGGGTGAGGGAGGAGGGGAGGGGTGGAGGAGGAGGAGGGGGGGAGGAGGAGGGAGGGGGGGAGGGAGGAGAGGAGATGGAGGGAGGAGGAGAAGGGGAGAGGGGGGCGGAGGGGGAGGTGGCATGTCAATATTTCTCATGCATTTTCGAGACTTTTTATTTTATTCTTATGTCATGACTAACTGATGGATGCAATGGTATTTTACATTGACTTTCAAACCACAAAAAATACATTAATTTTTATTTTATTTTCGCCACATCTCTCTCTCTTCAGTCACCCTATACTTTATCCACACAACTTGGTCAGATCAACCTCAATCCCTGTGTCAAATTTAAATGTAATATCAACTCAGTGTTATTGATTAGTGACGGTAGGCAAGACAGACAGACAGACAGACAGACAGACAGACAGAGACAGACACGCCACTATATGCTTTACTCTCCCTGTGGCGGGGGATAACTACACTAATATACTACACTACAACATAATACAATACAAACAACATCTATTGATAATACAACAACATCTGAAAATCATTCATCAAAACACTACGTTCCATTTATTATATATCTGAATCTATTTGCTCTAATATTTCTTCATTAACTTTCTAATTACAGTTTTACAAGTTAATAGTTGGTTATATACATTTCTCTTTCATTATTATACCAAATACAAAGAAACAAACAAACACATTTACAAAGAATTACAAACAAACAAAGAAATACGGTAATAAAAGCGATTTTCTCTTTTTTGTTATCGTGGGAGTAAATGACAAGAGAGCCAACTTGAGCCATTAAAAACAACAGATCGCTTAAAAACAATGACAAACAAGACAACTTCTCCTGATGAACAACGTGATTAAGACAATGAAATTTACTGGCCACCAACACACCAAATTGACAGGTTCTATTTTTTTTTTCGACCGTAATGTTTTTTTTTTATATAGAAATTAATTTTGTTACAACCTGGAGAGAACTTGCGGTGTGTGTGTGTGTGTGTGTGTGTGTGTGTGTGATACGAACAAACAGATGACCACCCTCCTGCTTATCATAACAATAAAACATTTTAACCTCTTGAGTTTTGTTTTTCCAGGTAACAAAAACACACAAAGTTCATCCGTTTTTTTTTACACTAATAACACGAGGAAAAAAACACCACACAAGAAAACTGTCGAAAAAAATAAACAAAACACAAACAGAAAAGAGGATTTACTCGAAGTTATTTTTTTCACGTATATATTTTAGTTAAGAAAAAAAAACATTGAATTGACTAAAAAAAAAAAAAAATACGATTATATTCCCAACATCTCCAAATATCAATCAAATGCATCAAACAACTTGAAAATTTAAGTAAAGAAATCAAGAAAGTATGTAAACAAATCAAGAAAGAATGCAAACAAATCAAGAAAACATGCAAACAAAACTACATCAATTGCACTTACATACTTTGGATATTTTTTTTGGCGTCATCTTGCAAACAAACTTAAGGTGCGACGGACACTCGTACGGACTAACGTAAAGACGGACGGACGGACGGACGGACGGGCGGACGGGCGGACGGATGGAAAAATAACACCCAAAAGTACAGAAAATAAAACAACAAACAATGAAAAACAAGGACACATCTGAATCAATAAATGAACTAAATAAATAAATAAATAAACAAATAAATAAAATAAACAAACAAATTCATAAATAAACAAATAAATAAGCAAATAAAAAATAATTAAATAAACAAATCCCTCCTTACCTCCATGACCCCTCAGGTAGAGAGTGCCAGAGTGCCAAAAAGGTGCCATGAATTGTGTCCGCAACTGTACACATGTAACACCGTGTTCAACAGGACATAGGAAGTTCCATCTCCTCTTTTTAGCATCAATGACCTTGACCTTATGACCTAGTGACCCCAAAATTGATGTGTGACCTCAAGATACCTATGTAAATGCACCTATCCTCTCTCTCTCTCTCTCTCTCTCTCTCTCTCTCTCTCTGGGGTGCTTGTGTAAATGTCACTTCCTCAATCGAAGGGGAAGTACCTATGTAAATACACCTCTCCTTATCTAGATCCAAGGTACCTATGTAGACAAGAAATCCATTGGTACTTTACATGGAAATAGGAGTTGCGGTACAGATAAACAGTCAAACACAGACGAATTTAGACAGACAATCAGGCAAAGACAGACATACACAGAGCGGCAGATAGACAGAGAGACAGTAACTTAGTCAAAGACAGACATAAATTGAGATAGTCAAACAAAAACAGACAGACAGACAGACAGACAGACAGACAGACAGACAGACAGACAGACAGACAGACAGGCAGGCAGAAAGACAGACAGGCATAAATTTAGATAGGCAAACAAAGACAGACAGACAGACAGACAGACAGACAGACAGACAGACAGACAGACAGACAGGCATAAATTTCGATAGGCAAACAAAGACAGACAGACAGACAGACAGACAGACAGACAGGCAGGCAAACAAACAGACAGGCATAAATTTAGATAGTCAAACAAAGACAGACAGACAGACAGACAGACAGACAGACATAAATTTAGATAGTCAAACACAGACAGACAGACCATTACACGGATCACTTTACAAGAGGCGTAAAAAAACGTAAATATAATATGAAGTTGTTAAGGCTTAAGGGGATTACTATGTTAATCTAATTATAGGAAACTTTTTGAGAAATATAGATTTTTTTGTTTACGAATCTGTGACGGAAAATATTAAGTAATGGATGAAAGGTAAAAATAATAATAATAATGATGAAGAGTTAAATGAGAATAATAGTAGTAGTGATAATAATAATAATAATAATAATAATAATAATAATAATAATAATAATAATAATAATAATAATAATAATAATAATATCCCCCAAAAAACAAGACAAAATCAACAAAAATAACGATAAAAACAAACAAACAAACAAACAAATACTCCGAGCAAACAAACATAACCACCAGTAATCAAACACACGAAAAATAAACAAACAAAACAAGTAAACAAAGAGACATAACATCAATTATTATGAGTCTATGTATATTTGTTCTCTATATAAACAAATAAGTATAATACCTATCTATATATATAATTTGTATATATAAATAAGTTTCGTCAACAAGAATATGTCATGAACTGGAATTAATTGATTTTATTGATAAATATATTTGTTTTCGAACTCCTTCCTCCCATCCTTTCCCCCCCTCCCTCCCTCCCTCCTCCATTTCATCAATCCCGTCCTCCCCACCCCTCCCTATCCCCCCCCTCCATTCTCCCTATTCCATCTACTACCCCTACCACACCCCTCCTCGATACCTCCACCCCTACCTCTAATTACCCTAACCCTTACCTCAACCCCTACCCCCTCTCTTGACCACCCCCCTCCCTTACCTATACCTTCAACTAACTCTCCCCCTCCCCTCCCTCCCCCACGTCAGCACAACCATCGATTTCATGAACTTTTAAAGAGGAGGTATTTCCTAGGGCAGGTGTACAAGACTCAGCCGCCGTAAATAAAGGCGATGGAACACAGCCTCTATCACCGGTGGCCATAAACGCGTCTTTACTGTAAACATTGTCACCTGGCCTACGACTCTTCTCCATCCCCAAGATTAACAATAACATTCTTGTTTAATTCAATATATTTTTCTACCATCTCTTTTATTCATTAGTTTATTATTATTATTATTATTATTATTATTATTATTATTATTATTATTATTATTATTTTATTTTTTGGAGGGGGCAATTTTTTGGGATGTTTTGTTGGGAGGGTATGTTTTTGTTGGGCGGGGTATGTTTTTGTTGGGAGGGTATGTTTTGTTGGGGAGGGTATGTTTTTGTTGGCGGGGAGTATGTTTTTGTTGGGAGGGTATGTTTTTGTTGGCGGGGGTATGTTTTTTGTTGGAGGGTATGTTTTGTTGGGCGGGGTATTATGTTTTGTTGGGAGGGTATGTTTTGTTGGCAGGGGTATGTTTTTGTTGGGAGGGTATGTTTTTTGTTGGGAGGGGTATGTTTTTGTTGGGAGGGTATGTTTTGTTGGGCAGGGGGGGTATGTTTTGTTGGGAGAGTATGTTTTGTTGGGCGGGGGTATGTTTTGTTGGGAGGTATGTTTTTGTTGGGAGGTATGTTTTGTTGGGAGGGTATGTTTTTTGTTGGGCGGGGGGGTATGTGTTTTTGTTGGGAGGGGTATGTTTTTGTTGGGAGGGATGTTTTGTTGGGCGGGGGATGTTTTTGTTGGGCGGGGATGTTTTTGTTGGGGGGTATGTTTTTGTTGGGGAGGGTATGTTTTTGTTGGGAGGTATGTTTTTGTTGTTGGGAGGGTATGTTTTTGTTGGGAGGGATGTTTTTGTTGGGAGGGATGTTTTTGTTGGGGAGGGTATGTTTTGTTGGGAGGTATGTTTTTGTTGGGAGGGTATGTTTTGTTGGGAGGGATGTTTTGTTGGGAGGTATATTTTTGTTGGGAGGATGTTTTGTTGGGCAGGGATGTTTTTGTTGGGGAGGTATGTTTTTGTTAGGAGGTATGTTTTGTTGGGAGGGTATTTTGTTGGGCAGGGGTATGTTTTGTTGGGAGGATGTTTTTGTTGGGAGATTATGTTTTTGTTGGGAGGTATGTTTGTTGGGAGTATGTTTTTGTTGGGAGGTATGTTTTTGTTGTGGGAGGGTATGTTTTTGTTGGGAGGGTATGTTTTTGTTGGGAGGGGGTATGTTTTGTTGGGAGGATGTTTTGTTGGGCGGGTATGTTTTTGTTGGGAGGGGTATGTTTTTGTTGGGCGAGGGTATGTTTTGTTGGGAGGGTATGTTTTGTTGGGAGGGTATGTTTTGTTGGGAGGGATGTTTTTGTTGGGCAGGGGTATGTTTTGGCTGGGAGGTATGTTTTTGTTGGGAGGGTATGTTTTTGCTGGGAGGTATGTTTTTGTTGGGAGGATGTTTTTGTTGGGAGTATGTTTTGTTGGGAGAAGTTTATGTTTTTGTTAGGGGGATGTTTTTGTTGGGCGGGGTATGTTTTGTTGGAAGGATGTTTTTGTTGGGAGGGTATGTTTTTGTTGGGAGGGGTATGTTTTTGCTGGAGGGTATGTTTTGTTGGGAGGGTATGTTTTGTTGGGAGGTATGTTTTGTTGGGAGGGTATGTTTTGTTGGGAGGGGTATGTTTTTGTTGGGCAGGGGATGTTTTGTTGGGGAGGTATGTTTTTGTTGGGAGGGTATGTTTTTGTTGGGAGGGTATGTTTTTTGTTGGGAGGGTATGTTTTTTGCTGGGAGGGTATGTTTTGTTGGGAGGGATGTTTTGTTGGGAGGGTATGTTTTTGTTGGGAGGGTATGTTTTGTTGGGAGGTATGTTTTGTTGGGCGGGGATGTTTTTGTTGGGAGGGTATGTTTTGTTGGGAGGATGTTTTGTTGGGAGGGTATGTTTTTGTTGGGAGGGTATGTTTTTGTTGGGCGGGGATGTTTTGTTGGGAGGGTATGTTTTGTTGGGAGGATGTTTTTGTTGGGGAGGGATGTTTTTGTTGGGAGGGTATGTTTTGTTGGGAGGGTATGTTTTTGTTGGGAGGGGTATGTTTTGTTGGGAGGGTATGTTTTGTTGGGAGGGGTATGTTTTTGTTGGGAGGGTATGTTTTGTTGGGAGGATGTTTTGTTGGGAGGTATGTTTTGTTGGGAGGGTATGTTTTTGTTGGGGAGGGGGTATGTTTTTGCTGGGAGGTATGTTTTTGTTGGGCAGGGTATGTTTTTGTTGGGAGGTATGTTTTTGTTGGGAGGGGTATGTTTTTGTTGGGAGGTATGTTTTGTTGGGAGGATGTTTTTGTTGGGAGGGTATGTTTTTGTTGGGAGGGGGTATTTTTTGTTGGGAGGGGTATGTTTTGATGGGAGTAAGTTTTTGTTGGGAGGGGTATGTTTTTGTTGAGGCATGTTTTTGCTGGGAGGGGTATGTTTTGTTGGGAGGGGGTATGTTTTTGTTGGGAGATTGTTTTTGTTGGGAGGGTATTGTTTTGCTGGGGAGGGGGTATGTTTTGTTGGGAGGGGGTATGCTTTTGGCTGGAGGTGTTTTTTGTTGAGGGGGAATGTTTTTGCTGGGAGGGGTATGCTTTTGTCAGGAGGTTGTTTTGTGGAGGGGGTATGTTTTTTTGTTGGGAGGTATTTTTGGCTGGGGGATTTTGTTGGGAAGGGGTATGTTTTGGCAGGGGGTATGTTTTTGTTGGGAGGGGTATGTTTTGGCTGGGGTATGCTTTGTTGGGAGGGGGTATGTTTTGGTTGGGAGGGGCATAGTTTTGTTGGGAGGGATGTTTTTGTTGGGAGGGGTATGTTTTTGTTGGGAGGGGGTTTTGTTGGGAGGGTATGTTTTGTTGGGAGGTATGTTTTTTGTTGGGGGGTATGTTTTTGTTGGGAGGGGGGAAGTTTTTGTTGGGAGGGGGTATGTTTTTGTTGGGAGGTATGTTTTTTGTTGGGGGGGTATGTTTTGTTGGGAGGGGGGTATGTTTTTTGTTGGGTGGGTGGGGATTTTTTTGTAAGATGTACTTTTGATGGGTTTAATTCATCTTGTTTTTTTTTTTTATTATAGTTAACTTCACATGTTTAATTTTTTCTTCAATATATTTTTTCTAGTATAAATTCACATTTTTTGTCTATAATTTTTATCAGTTTAATTCATCTTAATATTATTTTAAATTCTTTTAGTTTATTTTTCTTATTAACAATAGAATACTTTGGTATATACTAACACTATTATTAATATTTTCACTTTATGACCATTATACACATTGCTATTAGTCTATTTTCATATATCTACTTGTATTACTATTACTATTACCTATAACTATTACCTATAACTATTACCTATAACTATTACCTATAACTATTACTTCCAATATTTTAGTCCACATATTATACTCCTATTATTTTCTACACATATAATCTCTTCTATAATCACCCCATAACTTCTATAAACAATTATATTACCATCTATTATTATTACTTTTATTAATATTTGCTAATAACTAAAATGTGGCTTTTGTTTATAAGGATTAATATTACTCTGTTAATATTGATGTTTAATTTAGTTTATTATTAATATTTCAATTTATATTTGTGATTTATTGTTATTATCAAGACTTGTAATAATCACGTAAGTAATTTGGGATTAATTATCTTTTATCGCTTATTCCATTTTTATTTTCACTTTAAATACTGTAATTATTTTTACTAGTTTGTTTTTCTAACTTTATTTATATATTTATATCTGTATTTATTAATCTTATTTAATTTTATGTATTATTCTTTAACCAACCCACATCACCTCACATCAACCCACATCACCTCAGCAATCATCACCTCGCAAGACCCCATCCTCATTAACCCACATCACTTCACAGCAACCCACATCACTTCACAGCAACCCACTTCACCTCACATCAACCCACATCACCTCACAGCAACCCACATCACCTCACAGCCATCACCTCAGCAACCCACATCACCTCATTAACCCACATCACCTCGCAACCCAACCCATCACCTCACAGCAACCCACATCACCTCACAGCAACCCACATCACCCCTAACACCAACCCACATCACCTCCATTAACCCACATCACCTCCACATCAACCGACATCACCTTACAGCAACCCACATCACTTCACAGCAACCCCCCGCACAGCAACCCACATCACCTCCATCACCTCACAGCAACCCACATCACCTCCAGCAACCCACATCACCTCACAGCAACCCACATCACCTCCAGCAACCCACATCACCTCACAGCAACCCACATCACCTCACAGCAACCCACATCACCTCCACAGCAACCCACATCACCTCACAGCAACCCACATCACCTCCACAGCAACCCACATCACCTCCACAGCAACCCACATCACCTCACATTAACATCACCTCACATCAACCCACATCACCTCCCACAGCAACCCACATCACCTCCCCACAACAACCCACATCACCTCACAGCAACCCACATCACCTCACAGAGACCCACATCACCTCACAGAGACCCACATCACTCACAGCAACATCACCTCACAGAGACCACATCACCTCACAGCACCACATCACCACACAGAGACCCACATCACCTCACAGCAACCCACATCACCTCCACAGCAACCCACATCACCCCTCACAGAGACCCACATCCTCCACAGCAACCCACATCACCTCACAGAGACCCACATCACCTCACAGAGACCCACATCACCTCCACAGCAACCCACATACCTCAGAACCCCACATCACCTCCATCAACCCAAATCACCTCACAGCAACCCACATACCTCCTGAGACCCACATCCTACAGCAACCCACATCACCTCCACAGAGACCCACATCACCTCACAGCAAGATTAATTCTATATACACACAGACAGACAGACGCTCAACAGACAGACACTCAAACAGAGACAGACAGACGCTCCAACAGACAGACAGACGCTCCAACAGACAGACCAGGCTCCAACAGTGACAGACACTCAAACAGAGACAGACAGACGCTCCAACAGACAGACAGACGCTCCAACAGAGACAGACCTCCAACAGAGACAGACAGACACTCCAACAGAAGACAGACGCTCCAACAGTGACAGACACTCCAAACAGAGACAGACACCAACAAGAGAGACAGACGCTCCAACAGACAGACAGACGCTCCAACAGACAGACAGACTCCAACAGTGACAGACACTCAAACAGAGAGAGACAGACAGACGCTCCAACAGTGACAGACAGCGCTCCAACAGGCAAACAGAGACAGACAGACGCTCCAACAGTGACAGACAGACACTCCAACAGAGACAGACACTCCAACAGAGACAGACAGACACTCCAACAGACAGACAGACGCTCCAACAGTGACAGACACTCAAACAGAGAGACAGACACTCAACAGAGAGACAGACGCTCCAACAGACAGACAGACGCTCCAACAGACAGACAGACACTCCAACAGTGACAGACACTCAAACAGAGAGACAGACAGACACTCCAACAGAGACAGACAGACACTCCAACAGACAGACAGACAGCTCCAACAGTGACAGACACTCAAACAGAGAGAGACAGACACTCCAACAGAGACAGACGCTCCAACAGACAGACAGACGCTCCAACAGACAGACAGACGCTGAGATGACAGACACTCAAACAAAGAGACAGACAGCGCTCCAACAGTGACAGACACTCAAACAGAGAGACAGACGCTCCAACAGACAGACAGACGCTCCAACAGACAGACAGACAGCTCAACAGTGACAGACAGCTCCAACAGTGAACGACAGACGCTCCAACAGACAGACAGACGCTCCAACAGACAGACAGACGCTCCAACAGACAGACAGACGCTCCAACAGACAGACAGACGCTCCAACAGTGACAGACACTCAAACAGAGAGACAGACAGACGCTCCAACAGACAGACAGACGCTCCAACAGTGACAGACACTCAAACAGAGAACAGACAGACACTCCAACAGACAGACAGACACTCCAACAGACAAACAGACACTCCAACAGACAGACAGAGACCCCAACTGAGACAGACACTCCAACAGACAGACAGACAGACAGACAGACATAATAAAACAACCCAAAAAAAAAAACACAAACAAACTCAGCATACAGACTTAATGCAACAACAACAACAACAACAACAACAACAACAACAACAACAATACAACATTATACAATAGCAAAATAGATCCCATAGTTAATATATCAAACCATTGACTTAGTATAGAAGTTATAGGAGATAGGCTCTGGACATCACATAGGCTCTATAGGAGAGTACATAGGCTCTATAAGGACAGTACATAGGCTCTATAGGACAGTACATAGGCTCTATAGGAGAGTACATAGGCTCTAGGACAGTACATAGGCTCTATAGGAAGTACATAGGCTCTATAGGACAGTACATAGGCTCTATAAAGATACATAGGCTCTATAGGAAGTACATAGGCTCTATAGGACAGTACATAGGCTCTATAGAAGTACATAGGCTCTATAGGACAGTACATAGGCTCTATAAGTACATAGGCTCTATAGGACAGTACATAGGCTCTATAAAGTACATAAGCTCTATAAGACAGTACATAGGCTCTATAGGACAGTACATAGGCTCTATAGGACAGTACAGGCTCTATAGGAAGTACATAGGCTCTATAGGACAGTACATAGGCTCTATAGGAGAGTACATAGGCTCTATAGGACAGTACATAGGCTCTATAGGACAGTACATAGGCTCTATAGGACAGTACATAGGCTCTATAGGACAGTACATAGGCTCTATAGGACAGTACATAGGCTCTATAGGACAGTACATAGGCTCTATAGGACAGTACATAGGCTCTACAGTATATAACAGCTTATCAATTAGATGAAGAAGAAAAATATAACCCTGATTTATATATATTTATGACAATACACAATATATATTAATTTATATAGTCTATAGTTTATATATCGAGTATTTGATGGATAAGATGGGA